ATGGATGGATGCATGCATGAGGGTATTTGCACAAATTCAGCATTTATTAATTAAAATTCTTTAAACCCTGTGCATGCAATTCAGAGAGGAAGACACAAGCTTGAACAGGAAATGCAACAAGATTTTACTAAACCTATGAGGCACTAAAAAATTAAAACGAAATGAAATTTGACATGTGCTGATGATATGGGCAGAGCCTTTCAGTTGTTCTTAATGAGGGGATTGAAGACTGTACAAATTCAAGAAAGTGCAGTTTGACTCTTTCCTTACATTTCATAAATGATGTAATGGGGCATGCACGAAGACTCTGCCATGAAAATGGTCACAGATGTATTAGCTCAGTGATAGAGCCTCTGCTTTAGAAGGCCCCAGACTCAGTCCCCAGAATCTTCAGGTAAGGCTGGGAGACATTCCTGTCTGAAACCCCATCCTGTCAGTGTAGGCAATGCTGAGCTAGATGGACCAATGTTCTGACCCAGTATAAGGCAGCTTCCTTTGTTTCTGAAAAAGCACGTTTGAATATAAAATAGGAAACTGAAATCCCTAGTCCCATTTTCGCAAATCATTCCACTTTAATTTAGCAAAAATGACAACCATGCAATGCCTTTATGAAGCACTCTCTTAATATTTTTTCATTCTGAACTGATTTTTTTCTTCCTGTAGTCCTTATACACAAATTCTACTTTGATTAGTGTCAACATCAACAACAAAAAACATTCTTGTTGGGGTGGGGTTGGGGGGGACTTGTGTTACTTTTGGTTTGTTGATAAACAGGACAAGTCCTTAATTGGCCCTGCTCCTGTTGACTAATTCCCACACACTTTGCATCCATTAGCCGTACATAGTACGTTCTGTGACAAACTGAATCACATTCTTTCAGTTAACATCTGCATGCTCTTTCATCTAATTTCACAGACTGATATGCATAAGATGAGTATAGCAGAGAAGAACACCCACCAGATGTGCACAATGTAACCCCATCCTCACTGCTTTCCTGTGTCTTTTCTTACACATTACCTTTATCCTATGCTCCTCCATCATTGAAAAATGATAAGAGGCTGCCCTCAGGGCTCCCTGAGCCTTTCAGAATGGAAGGGGAAAGGCAAATGCTCCGCCAGAGAGTCAGTATATCATTCCCTCTCCAGAAGGTGTGAAGGGATGCAGGGGTGGGGAGCTCATTCATGCTTGGAAAGGCTCCTTTGATGAGAAACTTAATCATGGTCCATTGCTCAATTATTTTTTATAACAAAGGGGGAGGGCGGAGTGGAAAGATCTGCTCAGGTGGTTTGCAGACCTTCAGACATTACAACTGTGCTGTCAGATATATCCGTGAAAAAGCAGCTCCAACAGGAAGGCTGTAGAATCTTAAGGACACTGCAGACAACTTCTGACTTATTTTTCAAGGACATGTTCAAGCTCTTCTAAGGAATTCCTGAGATTCCTAGCTGTAGCAAAAGACTGAGTCTTGGATTTTGTTGTTTACCAAGAAAATACATGTCAACTTTATTGGGCAAGAAGTCTTACTCCTTTCCCCTTCCTTGGGATAGATATTTATCCATGTTTGGCTTGAAGCACCACCAGCCTGATTCCCTGATTGAGTAAGGGTAGCATTTGTATGTATATTTGTCTTGGAAGACAACACTTTGTATTTGGTAATTATTTGGTAATCATTTCTTAAAATGTATTTAAAAAAATATGAAGGAACACTTTTGATTGGTAGAACATACACTTCCAGCTTTGCTTGGCTTTGAAGAATGAACCAGGTGCAAGTAGGTTGGAACAGAGATTGTACCTACTGAGCCACTCTACTGAAATATGATGGGTTGAAGCCTCCTGCCTTTTTGTCACCTGGTTCAATGACTGCTCTTGCCTTGTCACTGGAGGGATGAGAGACTAAGCCCTACCATGTTACTATGTAGTTGTTTGACTCGATACAGTGTCCTGGCCTTGTCTGGCTTGAAAACAAACATAGCTGGGGACTGAGTAAGATTATGCCTCATCAAACTATTATTAATAAAAATAATTGAATTTATATACCGCCCTATACTCGGAGGTCTCAGGGCAGTTCACAGAATAAAAGCAAAATATAAAACCACAAAATACATAATAAAAATAAAAATAAAAACAACAACCCAATAACACCCCCTCCAAAAACAAAACAAAAACTACTGCATTTTAAAAGGGCATAGGATGTCAATCAAATCAACCAAAGGCCTGGTTAAAAAGGAATGTTTTTGCCTAGCGCCTAAAGGTGTATAATCAAGGCACCAGAACTTCCCTGGAGAGTATTCCAGGAGAGTATTCCCTGGAGAGTATTCCACAGATGGGGGGCCACTGCAGAGAAGGCCCGTTCTTGTGTTGCTACGCTCTGGACCTCTTGAGGAGGAGGCACACGACAGAGAGCCTCAGAAGATGATCTCAGGGTCCAGGTAGGTTCATATGGAAAGAGGCGGTACAATCTCTGTTCCAACCTACTACACAGTGATCTAGCAGGACTTAGACTTCTTCCTTCATCTTTGGTGCTCAATTTCCACTTATTGAAAAGAAACTCTCTCTCTTTTTTACCCTGTGTCATAAGCATCAATTGCTAATGAATAAAAAACATGAAACATATTAATTGACATGGTAATCTGTTCAGTCAAATAAATGCCACTGACTTTTTAGCCCGTGGTGGCTTTTCTTCCTGTGACCTTTTGAAAAATAATATTTGCCATTTCTTTTTCTTAGTAGTGAAGAAACCAATTTATGCCCTCTTGTTCTTTCACACATAAAATAATTACATGTGTGTACATTTGTAAGTGTGCCATTTTGCAGTCTGTAGGAAGTTTTCCAGTTTTTGAGATGGCATATTTTATCAGTTTCAAAAGATTATTATTTATTGCTTATCACAGAGAAGTTATTAAGCTAATTGAAATGGAAAACTGGTTTTGCCTTAGCTTGAGTTGGTTCAAAGCAAGATAAAGCTATTTAAGATATTTGTTTATGTCTGGTATTTATACCCCATCTTTCCATAAAATATATAATCAAGGCAACTTACAAAAACCATCACTTCATAAATATTGTCAAATACAATAAAATAAATTGTAAACTAAAACATGTTGGTGATTTATTAAATTTGTATACCACCCTTCTTCGAAAGATCACAGGGCAGTTCACAACATAATAATACAAAATGAGAACACAAAATAGAGAATGAAACAAAAACAAACCAATAAGCCCTTCCTACGCAAGCACATTTAAAAGGCCATAGAATGTTTAATCAGCCCAAAGCTGATTATAGAGAAACCTTTTTGCCTGGTGCCTAATATTACTAACATCTTTGAAAAGTGGCAGCAGTTTAAAATTATTTTAAGAGCATGCAACAAAGCTCCACTGGGTGACAAAGCCTTAGGCAAACCACCTTAAAAACATATTATGTTACTATGGCCTTTTGGGGCTAATTAACATCTGTAAATTGGACATTGTTCTTAAACTAGCTGAATTTACTTTTCTTTTACTATATGATATACTGGTCTGATATACTGGTCCATCTTGATAAAAATCAGTATTTTAAATATTTAGGGTTTTATCCAACAAAGTTATCCCACTTGCAAAAGAGCTTCAACTTTTGCTCCCCGCACTGTGTCCCTTCCAAAACTGTTCTGGGTGTTCCCCTTACCCTCCAGAGCTGATGGGAGACATGGGTGTGGGGCATGTGTGATAGAAGAGGGAGGGGAGGTTCCATTGCAGAATTGAAAGTACTTGTTCAAAAGGAATTACTTCCCTGGGTGCAACCATTAGTGATTTTATTATTGGATTTTATAGATTTATATTATATACAACTGTAAACAACTTTGACAGGCATTTTTGCCTTAAAAATGGTCTAATCTATTAAATAAAATATATATAAAAAAGTAGGAAAGCTGTTCTGAATTCTGAGAGTCATGACTGAGAAATGATGTCATATGCCTACCCTGCCACACATTTGACAGTGGAGCAGGTTAAAAAATAGCAAGCCAAATAATTTGTTGGTATTTTTTTAAAAGAAATGCAAAATAAGTATTTTAAAATATTAAATTACTTTTAAATAAGTAATTTTAAATATTTTGAATTCCACAGAGAGCTTTGTTTATGTGGACTGCCTTATTTTGTTCAGCATCAGGTAATACTCTACGACACAGTAGGAACTTGCATTTTGAGCTCCCCTGACATTATAGAGCATTATAGAGCAGTTTCTGGACTTCAGCTTCCATAACCCCTGACCATTGGCAATGTTGACAGGGGCTGATGGGAGTTAGAGTCCAGCAGTATCTGGAGGGCCACATGTTCCCTAGCTACGTAGTAGAGGTGTCTCTTCTTTGTGTGTAGCTCCACATGGATGTCAGAGCCCCTGTGAGTGCACTGAGGCAGCTTAATCAGAAATAATCCACACACTCAGGTAAGGGAGTTGTTAAATTCTGTTGATTTTCAGGAGTCCAATAGATATGTTTGTAAATTAGGCCAGAATCTCACAGATTGATTGCTTTTGTCAAAACACAAAAATAAGGGAGTGGACACATTTTTTTAAGAAGTAATGTTTCCAGTTCACTACATTTACATGTTGCAGCATGCTAGCCATCAGTGCTCCTGCTTAAACAAATGCATTGTGAAATATCTCCTGGGAGACCATGTCTGCTTCCGAAGTAGTTAACCATCTGAATTGCTTCTTACCCTACGTCATATTTGAAAGATTCCAGGGATCATGGAAATAAGTGAATGCTGAGCCTTTTTAATCTGTCAAACAAGCTAGCTCTGGAGAGGTTATGCGTTTCAAATGAGAAACTATTTCATGCCTATTTGGAGATTACTCTGTGTGGGTTTTTGCTAGCTCCTCTTGCTGAGAGCATCACTTGGAATAACTGCTGTCATTTTAAAATGCTGGTTTCTGTTCCTGCGTTTCGGAAGTGTAAATACTCATGCTAGAGTTTCAGTTGCCACATTTGTGTGACTTGCACTTTGTTTCTTGCTCTGTTTCCTGGTAGAATACCTATACTAATGCAGACAAGCTACTGGAAGCAGCAGAGCAGTTGGCTCAAACCGGAGAGTGTGACCCTGAAGAGATCTACAAGGCAGCACGGCATCTGGAAGTGCGGATTCAGGACTTTGTCAGAAGAGTGGAGCAGAGGAAGCTTCTTTTGGACATGTCTGTATCCTTCCACACTCATACCAAAGAGGTAAGATGCTTACAGTGTGATCAGAGCTGCATTGAGGGGAGTGCGACCAGTTTGCCCGAGCCAAGAGGGTGCTGCAGGGGGCGCCGCAACAATGACTTAGAACAGAAAGCAAGAGACAGGGGAGCACAGAATTTTGCCATCACACAAGTGACTGCTGATATTTGACTGATGTTGCAAAGCCTGTAACACTCAAGAAAGTTTTAAGTTGCTTAAGCCATAATAGACTGAATGTGACATGTACAGCATGAAAACTCAGAAAACATTGACAACTTGTATATCTTGCAAAAATGCCATATTTTCTCTCCTTTCATTTGTTTAATGTAAATCCAAGAAAAAGTGTTGTTGTTGTTGTTGTTGTTAATTCAGTTTATATAACGCCCTTTATCAAAAGAGCCCAGGGCAGTGTACAACATTAAAAACACAGAAGTGATAAAATGTTTTTAAAGCAAATTTACAGCAGTCTCATGAGAGGAGAGCAAGGTGACCAAGTTCATAATAATTAAATAGTAATAATGTACAATTTATACTAATTGCATTTGGTCTGAGCTCTTTTTAAAAGAATATCAGTTATAATCACAGGCATAACTGAGTAGAAGTGTTTCTTGAGGAATTTCATTATAATGAAGCATCTGTTTTACTATTTCTAGTAACTTTCTAACTAAGAATTCAGATTATGATCAGAGATGGTTATACTTTCATACTATTTAAAATGGGCCCAAAATGCATGTTCCCATGTGTTTTTCAGTTGCTTGCTCAGAACGAGACTAAATGCTGTTTTAGTTCAAGTGAAAAATGTGCAAAGATAAGACACTCGAGCAGGAGACAGAGAGGACAGGGCGTTGAAATTGGAGGCCCCTGAGGGTGCAATTAAAGCATACTTCACATTTTTCCCCTTTCGACCAAAGGCTATTCAGCAATGTGTGCCTTTGGAAGATAAGTTTTATTCTGTGAGGAGAAAGGATTAATCTGAATCATTGTTTTTTCATGCACTGTAGCATCTGTGTGCCACAGCACTCTTGATCCATAAAGGCACCCGCAGGAGCTGAAGGCTTTGCCAGTATTAGCTGAATTATGTACTACAAACAAGTAATTTGTAATAAGCTGCTGCAGAGTTAGGGGAGCCTGAGCAAACAAACGTATTTGGTCACAGATAAGCTAGTGTAAAGGAAATGGTCTGCAGTGCATGGGTCTTTCTCTTCAGCATCTTGAATGGTATGAAGTACTTTTAGCTATGGATGGGACATGGAAGACAATGTGCATTCCTTTTATGAATCAAGTATCTCTTTATTGGTTTGGTTGGGTCTACCCACATATTCAGCTAGCCCATAACTTCTTATCACATGATGCAGTAATGGTTGTGTATGCACACATACACCACAGTTCTTAGGCACCCAGAACTTAAGATTTGTCTGTTGTAAATTGCTTAATATTAAATAGTTTGTTGAGGAATATGTGTGGGCTCATAATTGCCATTTGGAAATGTACAGCTCTTCTTTACTGTTACTCTGGCAGGGTCTTGTCTCTCCTGAAGTGTGCTGCTTACTGTCTGGTGATTTTACTTTGTAGATCAGAGAGATAAGGAAGATACTGGGTAGGTAAAACTTAACCATCTGGAGTAGGAAAATTATTAAAAGACAGTACTGTAATGGCTTAGCCTGATACCTGTGAGTAAAATAAAAATAAAAAATAGCACTTGGAGCAGTGTAGGGATAGTGTTTACCTATTAGGTTCTAATCTCTCTTGGGTAGGGGAAGTTGTCTAGAAAAAGGAACTTGTTCAAGGGAGTGAGGCGCTGGCTTTCAGTCACAGGAACCTAAGAACAATGTGAGAGTATAATTTATATCATTTGGAAGTTTCAAATGTTTGAGGCCAGGAGGAAAGGGTAGGAGACATACCCTTGTGATCTGAGACTCCTAGGCCATACACTTTTAGATTAATGCACTGAGCATGTTAAGGGAGAAAATTGCACAAAAAGAGTACAACTAATATGGACTGCCCATAGGTTTCATGATTTTAATTCAGCCTTTCTAGAGCATAACATTTGCAACTATCCCAAAGGATAGTGCAGTGTTCTATGCATAAGCTATCCTACCCTTATTGATGTGTATAGCTTTTTACATCTACTTTCCTTTATGTTAGCTGGTCTTTAGGCCTTTGGTGTAGAGATGATGCCGTAGAAATAGTGTTATTTCATCAAAAGCATCAAGATGGTGTTATTTTATCAAGTACAAAGTTGAAATTCTAAGCTTGTACAAAATAAGGAAAGCTGGTTGATTCAGTGAGGTTTGGTAGGATGTTTTGTTTAACTTTTTAAAAAGTTTTTGCAGAATGGTTTAGAATTGTCACAAATGATTTACTTTTGAAATTCCAGGACAGTGGTGAGGAAGTCACATAAAGCACTTGGAGATCTATCAGGATTATGTCCTGTGTCATGTTTAGCTAATGAAAATACAAAGCAGAAGGAAAATACATAGATGCTGGAGAAATTACATCCTTTGACCTAGGATTTGTGGAATGTTTCAAAGCAGCAAAAAGAGTGGGAACTTCATGGTTCCTTCCAGACAGTCTAATAAATCACTTCCTTTTCAATGCAGGGTGCTGGAACTCTTAGAAGCACACATTCTGTTGTCAACTTATCACGGCTTAAAAAATAAGCAGTAACTGTTGCCCTCTTCAGGCAGACTGATTCAGTGTTAAAACTGGCATGTGGGGTGTGTATGTGTGCTGTGGGGACAGGAGCACTAGCTCTGTCGCTCTGTCTCCATGCCAATTGCCTTCCATGGGTTGGAGGACAAACTTCTGTACCTTTTAGAACTTAGGGGTTCTAAAATGCATGGAAAGTCTCAATGAGTTCAGGATGCTCTTCACTTCAGCAGCCCCCCCACCCTTCAGCTCATAGAGGGTAACTGGAGTGGCAATAAGGGGGTGCAGCTAGGGTGATCATCCCTGAAACAGCGCCCTGCCCCCCGTGTCTACACAGTATTCGATTTTCTGAAGAGGGCTTATATTAATGCTGATTGCTTTCATCCAGTTTGCTTCTGTAAAGTAAGCATGGAATTTGGCTTGCCCTTGACCGTGTCTGTTCTTAATTACCTCCAGATTAATAATAACATAGAAATTAAAATATTATTTTAGATAGGAGCATGTTTTTGTCAGTCATTCTAAAGCTACAATTCATGAGCATCTGACTCCGCAGTAGCACAATTTAATATTATGGGATGGATGAACTCTGAATCCATCACACACATTTTTGGGGACCTTGGCATGCTAACTGATGCAAGCATAGCTGCCTTAAGCATATTTGCCTCGAGTAGAGGTTATATTTAGCTGTATCAATTTGGCGCATGAAAAAATCTGAAACATCAGATTATAAGCACTACAATTTCCCCCTATGATACAAGGACATCATTCTTGTACAGAAACATCAAAAGAGCCCTTACTTTAATGATGAATAGCTTTGAGTTGATATCTGTTTATTTCAAGAATGTCTTAGCTTACATTGTGAGATGGATTCTTGTTTTGCCCAAGAACTGTCAGCTAGAGTGAAACTGTTTCCAGGGCAGGTCCAGAATCCTCTTGTAAGGTGTTGGAAAGCTTGAATCAGAGAATCTGACAGCAGGACTCGGGCTCCTTATTTTCTTTGCCAGTAGGGTGGCTGTGAAGGAGATATTTGTGTGGTCTTTTATTCTGTTAGTGCTACCCAGATAATGGTAGCTCATCCACCTAGCAGAAGCAGATTTATTGCCAAAGCAAACGAGGGCTTGGCTAGCCTTATATACGGTAATTGTTGTCTTAGGCTTGGTTCCTCTTTCTGAGCAACTTATCATGCAGAATAGTTGCTTTGGAGATTCCTGTACTTGACCTCTCTTCTTCTGTCTTCCGTCTTTTGGAACCTAACCCAAATCTGTGCACATAGCAGACAGAAATACTTCCCTTGGCTCTCTGGAGGGCTTTGTGCTGGAGAGGAATGCACTGGAAGCCTCAGAATAGATAAGACAAAGTATAAAGTGGCCCCTGTGTGTTAAATAGGCAGTACTATTACTGCCTCCTTAGTTTACTTAAAGCCACTGAGTAGGTGCTGTGATGCCTTGTTCTACTTGCCCCTTTTGTACATAGACTGAATGCCGTAATCTACTTTGATTCAATGCTTTTTAGACTTGAAACACTAGGTTCCATTCATGACATATTAATTCCAATCAACTCATCACTGTTGAATTGTTTACTTACAAATTTGGGGTGTCTTTTACCTACTAAAAGTTGTCATTTGTCCCCATATTACACATAAACTGTGGCTTAATGTAGCTGTACACTGAGCTGGTACACACCACTGCAAAGCTTGAACTTCACTCCCCTCACTGTTCCTGCAGGTGCTATGCTGTCAGAAGACAAACTAGAATCTAGCTTGTCATTATATCCAAACCCTGGCTTGTGGTAACCATGGTTTGTTTTTTGCCTACTGTTTGTGGCTTGCTTGGGACATGAATGGGAATCCTGTGAATCGATCAAAAATCACATTTTGATTGAAATTGTTTCTGAAATATTTTAAATCTTATTAACAGCACAGATTCTTTGTAATGGGATTTTGCAGTCATAACTGAAGACCAGGGGACTAAAACCTTCTGAGTCAACGAAGATGTACAGTTTAATAGTTTTTAAATATGCAAATCCTTGTTGTAAAAGGTCATGCACCAGGAATAAACACTGTTAATGTAGATTATGATGCTATCTTGACCTGATTTGTTTGAGTATACAGTATTGCAAATGCGTAAGAGTTCAGGTTGCATCATCAGTAGTAGTACTTTAGATGTATATCACATGAAAATAACTAGCTGAGAGCAAATCTTAGTCTTTGCACTGAATTTATCATTTTATTTTCTCAAACTTGTTTTCCTCCTCCTCCATTCTAGGACTAACATGACTTCTATAATGTATCGCCATCACTTCAGTGCTGCTTTTCACTGTGGTATACAAATTGAGTCCTTAATTCTACTGTATGATAGCCAGATGTGTAATCTACATCTCCAAAGTTTCTTACCACATGTTTATACGTTAATATGTACAACCCCATACACCAGTGGGAAGAAATATCAGTAGCTGTGGGATTTCCCCCTACATTTACCATGAATATTTCATTTATTTATTTTATTACATGTGTAGACCACTCCTCACTTAAAAACAAAATAAATCACTCGTTTACAGTACAGTAGTACCTCGGGTTAAGAACTTAATTCGTTCTGAAACTGTTCTGAACCTGAGGTACCACTTTAGGTAATGGGGTCTCCCGCTGCACAGCCGCATGCTTTCTGTTCTCATCCTGAAGCAAAGTTCTTAACCCGAGGTACTATTTCTGGGTTAGTGGAGTCTGTAACCTGAAGCGTCTGTAACTCGAGGTACCACTGTACAAATAAATATAATAAATACAATAAAATAATATTATATCAATACAGTATTACAAATATTAAAACCCAATAGTACAGTACATAATCAAAGCAGCAAATATGAAACCACAATCAGAAGGTATGTACATCCACAGAAGGGGGATGCATCACTAAAATTTTATTTTGCAACTTTATGATGCTTTTCAATTATGGCAGGCCACTCTGAAAGTGATACTTGCTTGAAAAGCAGGGCTAAAATAGAATGAATGAATGAATGAATGAATGAATGAATGAATGAATGGATAGAGAGAAAATAAAGCTCCTGAATGAATAGCCAATCTGATTTGTGGTGGAAATTATTTATATTGAGGGGAACCTTTATAAGGTCTCTCTTGATACAATTTTTGCACTGTTTCCTCAAAGAACAGCCCCATATATTTTAGGTAGCTTTTGTGCAGGATGTTGGAGTTAAGGGCTGCCTATCATTTTTCACATACCTCATCATAAGGATGAACAGCTTTCTGTATACTAAACAATTTGGACACATAACTAGTTAGCTTTGAATTATTGAATCAATCTGGACTCTGTTGGAGCGAAAAATAAACTTCATTATTTAATTTCTTCAAGGGCAATGGGATAGTAGGGTAGAATTGTAATCAATACATTTATTATGTTTGGCGGGGGGGGGAGGAATCTTCACACGTCAGATTTATGCTGCACGTTTCAAAATGACTTTGGCAAAAGTGTGGCTGACATCGCCTCAAAGAATGTTACAGACTCTTTAGGACAGCAATTTCCAAATGGTTTTTTGATTGCCACACTGGCCACAGTAGGTTTTGGGGAAGTGCATTACAAAAGACTAAGGGGCAAATGGTGCTATATGCATATGTATATGCGGCATGAAGTCCTGAAGGTTGTTTTTTAAAAGCAGAGAGGGACGTGGGTGGCACTGTGGGTTAAACCACAGAGCCTAGAACTTGCCGATCAGAAGGTCGGCGGTTCGAATCCCTGCGACGGGGTAAGCTCCCATTGCTCAGTCCCTGCTCCTGCCAACCTAGCAGTTCGAAAGCACATCAAAGTGCAAGTAGATAAATAGGTACTGCTCCAGCGGGAAGGTAACGGTGTTTCCGTGCGCTGCTCTGGTTCGCCAGAAGCTGCTTAGTCATGCTGGCCACGTGACCGGAAGCTGTACGCCAGCTCCCTCAGCCAATAAAGCGAGATGAGCACTGCAACCCCAGAGTCGGCCACGACTGGACCTAATGGTCAGGGGTCCCTTTACCTTTAATGAGGGAAAAGCTTGGCCCTGCCCATTGCATCCCAATGCTCTTGCCAAACTCTGCAGTAACTTGGGCGTTCCTCTAAGTTCTGCTGCAGTGGGGTGGGCACAGAACCGCCTGAAGCAGGTGCTTCACCCCCTAAGCATAGGCAAGCCAGCTCTGAAGGAGTAACATTCTCTTTCGTAGGTTGATCATGTAATGTGTATCACATTCAGGTAAGATATGTTAATGAGACATATATTCTGCTCGTGAAGTCGGAGGAGTGAATTTATTATTTTATGGTGTCAATATTTAGAAGATTGATCATAAGCTAAGCTTCTGCACAAAGGAAACAGAAAATAGCTGAAAGTTAACCACAAAAATTTTGGAATCTGCTTTTCTTCATTACACCTTAATATTCCATACATTTCAGAATATGATATGCTCACAGTCTATATGAGAACTGGAATCTAGTATTCATACAGGTGGGTGGGGTATTATATACCTACCAGTATTTTAACATTTTGATTATCTTCTTGATAAAAAGACAGTAAATTACAGCCCATTCCATATGTGCTCATACTGTGCATTCATTTTAATATGAGATTTCAGATTACTTCATCTAATATATTGGTTGTTCAATACATGTAATTTTCAGTGTCCTTTAGCATCTGACATGGTGTGCTTTGTAGTACTCTGATTAATACTCTTTGAGCTGGCTTTAGAGGATTAAAGGGTTAAAACTCAATCTCTTCCTTTTTCTTCCCCCGCTCCCCCCCCCACTCCATTTGTGTTCCTTTTGTCCTTCCATTTGTGTTCCTTTACTCCTTTACAGCTGTGGACATGGATGGAAGACCTGCAGAAGGAGCTCTTGGAAGATGTTTGTGCTGACTCAGTGGATGCTGTTCAAGAACTCATCAAGCAGTTCCAGCAGCAGCAAACAGCTACCCTCGATGCAACCCTCAATGTAATCAAAGAAGGTGAAGATCTAATCCAGCAGCTCAGGTAAGTTCATCACACTGCATCAGAGGCACAATGAACAGAGGCAGGATAACTTAGAATTTAATGTGAGAATTAATCACTGCCCTGCTACGATTCAGAATATTTTATTTTATTGAAACTGCAAGGAATGATTTGTAGAGACTGGTAAAAATAGTCTTAAATCACTTTGAGCCAGTGTGTGTAATGGATGAGAAGAACTGCAGATAAGGTAAAGTGAGTATGATTAAATGGTTACTGTATAAATATTTTTGAAGTAGATATTTACAGAATATTGTTAAACTGTTATGAAGTGAGACCTGGTGATTTATTTGCTTACTCCTGCTAGGCATTGTCTGGCAGCTACTGAGCAAAACACGTAGATTCAAATAACACTGAATGCAATATTTTACTTCCTGCAGGAGTTTTGTGTTTGCATGTGGAGTATTCGTATCATCACATAGTGCCTGCTACTGGCAACAGAGTGTCTGCTGTTATCATCATGGTTGTGTGTTGTGCCCCATGAGGTGTTTTAACTCTCTGAATTTTAGTTTTGATGGATGTTTTAGTTTATATCTGTCTGGTTGGTCTGATTTTATGTTTTACTTTCTTTTTGTCTGTTTAAGTAGTACATTGCCCTGAGAACCCCAGCTATAGCATCACCAGCTATAGCATCACCTAGAGAACTCAGGTTAAGAGGTGATGGATGAGTGAAAATCATAAAATAAATAATAAATTTTGGTGTGACTCGGCCTGTATTCAGACAGTACTTGTTTCCATTTTCATGATATTTCCTTTCCTGATAATTTATGTGTTTCATGTGATCTTTCATACAACGTAAAAGCCACTCCTAGAAATCAAACAGAATCTAGTGGAAGTTTAGTGCTAATTTTCATGATAATTGCTTCCAGAAAAAAATCCATTTTCAACCCTGTTAACCTGGAGAACGAGAAGAGTGTTTGTATTGTAATTTTCCTGTGGTTTTCATACATCGTGCCACTGCCATTCATGTGATGAAATTTGGGTATTCCAGCATACAGTGCTTTCTCACCATTTTCATGGCTGAGTCATGGGGGCACAGAAGTGCACATGTGCATAAAGGGTGGCAGTATGGTTGATGGTGTCCACTCTTGCACCACAGCATGCCCACTGTTGTGAATTAAACTTAGCATAACATCTACCATGTGTTAATGCAAGTCAACTCTTATTCGATTTTAATTAAAACAGTGCAGTAAAAGAGGCAGTCTCCAGCAATCAACCTCCCCCCATTCAGTTTATTTTTTTGCTTTCTGAGAAGTGGATCCACCTTTCCTCATGAGGAGTATGTAGTCATCTGACTGCAAGTTCTGACTGGCCAAAGACTCCTTGTTATATCCCTGCTTCTATAAGGCAGGAAATTTATAACATGTCTGTAATGGCCGAGTACTTGAATTAATTAACATATAATGTCCAGCTGGCTTTAATGAGATCACACTTTGTGCCAGAGCCAATGTCTTTCAGACATTCTCTTTCATATAACTGGGACCTGCTCAGGCTGTTCAGTGCTCTTCTTCAGTTCCATGCCTCTGATTTCCAAGACTGCTCCAAACTCATGGATGGTTACAGGAAGAGCACTTCTTCAGCCTTAGATGAAACCTACCCTTGCCTCCTTCCCCATCTCACTGCTTCTCAGCCATATTTGCTATTTTTCTCTATTGGAGTAGTCAGGACCTTGTGGGAAGCACAAAACTGTGTCATCCCAAAAGGAAACTGCCCCCTCCTACTTTTAAACTTTATTGGGACAGGTTTCTATGAATCCAGGGTGGAATTCGATGCAGCCAGGATAAGCCTCAGCTGAAGGTTAGTTGGACCATCCGAGCAGTAAGCAGAGACAGATTAATCTGTCTCTGGTTAACTGCCTGAAATACCATTGCGTCCCAGATGTGCACTGTGACTCTGTACTGTTAAGTCACAGTGAAAATCCAGGGAGCTGTTTCTGTTCTCTCCTTTTGGGGACAGGTATTTATTGTGTTTCCACCCTCTTTCATCGTCCCCCCCCTCTACTTTTCATATTTCTCAGATCTTGTTTACCTACATCAGCCTTCGCCAACATCTGACCTCCAGATGTTTTGGACTGCAGCTCCACTCCGCACAGCTGTGCTGGCTGAGGCTGATGAAAGCTGTAGCCCAGAACCAGGTTGGCAAAGGCTATCACAAGATCTGTAATGTTGCTATTTGCACGTGAACTTTCCCCCTTCCTGGTGTTTTTGGCTAACCCACTGCATTTCTGAATACCCATCCTAAATTTCCATATAAGGAAATGCTCTGCCTTTTAGACTCTCTGTCACTATCTCTTTACTAGCAGCTAAGCTTATAGTCCAGGCAGTGTGGGTTTGTGTGGCCTCATGCTGAATCAATCACCTTTATCCTTCTGTATTGCTGAATATTGGCGGACCATGTCACAAAGCCATTATACTTTCTGCCTGCCATTTTGTGCAAATAAACTTCTCCCCCCTCCCCAATTTGGATTGGTATTTAATTAGTTTTGCCAATTTCCTCCAAATAAGCAAAACAACATTGGTATTTGCAGAGTAATTGTGTCCATTGCAACAACATCTGTGGAGAGTAATTGTCCACAGCAAAGGTGCCCAATGTGATAGATATATGTCATCATGTGTGCGTGATATGAGTTCACATGTATGTATAGATGCTTGAGTTTTTTTTCTCATTTTGTTCTATTTTAATATCACTGCTACTTAACTTTTTTTTACTGGTTGCAGAAATCTATAAATATTTAATAAATGAATTAAATTGAAAGGGAGGTCAGTTTCTCACTTTTGATAATGCAATCAGTGGACAGGAGAACACTAATGACTGTCAGCACCACCGCAAATTTCCCTTGCAACTGGGCATGAAGGTGGGAGAAGATAAATTATCTTTTCACAAATCATGTGAAAATAGCTGAAATACACTTTTTCAGCTTGTAACTGGGACCCCCACAAAATATTAGCACATCTGCTTAGATCTAATGTGATATATTATTAGCAGTGGTATGGCAACTGTTTGATCAGCTGGTCAGAAATCATGCCATCGCCCTTGATCCATGCATTATTGAAACATGGTTAAAAAAAACCCAAAAACTACTTGAAATTTGCTCTCACATTCCTACCACTAAGGTATAAATTGGTTCTATTGGTCCTAAGTGTCCTGTTCTGCTGGGGCTACAGGCCCACTGTGGAAGTGGTAACAAATACCAGAACCTCTTGCACTCCAGGGTAAAGCAAGACAAAGCAAGGCAAATCAGGACCTTGGGCAGCTCCCACTGGTCCCTGCTGAGTTTAGGAAGATGTCTCAGCAGATATTTTCCTGAAACCCTAAAAAGACTGGCAGAACTTAATATTCCAGTGGCACAACTCCCCCAGGGAAGCTGTTTGCAATATTTAATGGGCCTACAGCCTGTTCCACATTTGCATGCTCCTGCATGGTGGTAAGAGTAGGAGAGGCTGTGTGGGAATCAACCTCAGACTCTGAGGATAATGGAAGAGCCATGTCCTCAGGCCAAGGAAGTGTAGAATTGAGTGCAGAGGGATCCTTCTCAAGTCAGAGTCTTCCTTTGGTCAAAACTGGGATCCTGAGGCAGGGGATATAACACCAGGACAATATCATGCAGATAAGAGTTCTGAGTGTCCATGGGTCCCATTAAATCCTATAGAGCAAAGTGAGAGGGATGCAATTAGCAATACTTTGCAGGAAGAAGAACAACCTACTTTGCCCCATACAAAATTAACATCAGCAGGGGCAGACTTGGCCTGCTCAACACACTCCATTAGTGTTCCTTAGTGGTACTCCTACAAGCAATTGTAACAAAATAGATGGTGCTATGCTTCTCCCCTCCCCTCAGATGAATACAAATTTAATGGTGGAAAGTAATATCTCTCTCACACATCTCTTTGTGCATACACACACACACACACACACAGCTGCCAATATGTATTTTTTTGGTGTGTGTGTGTGTGTGTGTTGAGTTCATAATGAAACCTGATACCATAGGATAAGTGCATATCTTCTTATTCTGGTGGTGATTTTTTTTTAAAGTTTTGTTTATCATAGTATTAAAAAATGGCAGTTTGTTGAAGTAATAATTTAATTCACTCTACTTTGAGATATATTTTGAAATTATTCAGGTTTTGTTGTTGTTTTGAGCTCCCTGTTGTGACCACATGATAAAGTTTCAGGGTTTTTTAAAAAGTATGAAATAATGAGAAATATCAAGTCCCTGCATATTAATATACAGTTTATTCTGATGCAATCTAAAAATAGGCAGATACTTGAATGAATTCAGCAAATGGTGTTGTGCACAGCATGCTAGTAGAAGCAGTATTGGTGGGAGAACTGGGCTCACTTGAAATAAAATCAAGGACGATTACTAGTCAGAGTCTTCAAGAAACTTTATGCACCATTCACTCCCTTCTCCTTTCTCTCCAACTCCTTGTTGGTGCACAGAGGTCATAATGTCACCAGATATAAAAGGATGCATACAATTCACTGTGTAATGCAGGCATTCTGTAATGCAGCCATTCAGCAACTGAACGAGGTGAATCCTGGATAAAACTTCCTCCAACCTTTTCCAGCTATTTTTAGAGCTGAGAATGTTTAATATTCTTTCTTATTACCTTTTTCAACACTGCATTTTTAACCATTCATCTTTGGCTTTACCACAGGGATTCAGCAGTCTCTAACAATAAAACGCCACACAATAGTTCCATCAGCCACATTGAATCTGTCCTCCAGCAGCTTGATGAAGCCCAAGTACAGATGGAAGAGCTCTTTCATGAGAGAAAGATTAAGCTAGACATTTTCCTTCAGCTCCGAATTTTTGAACAGTACACCATTGAGGTAAGAGTTGCACTGAATACTCTGAAAGGGAAGAGCCTTTGAGGAAAATTGGGGTGGGAAGAGATGGACGATCACTTTTTTTGTTTGTTTTATGATAATGTTTGAAAGTCAATTCCTAGCCTTATATGCATTTATTCAATGTGACCAGAATGTATACTCTGTAGTTTATCATAGCTCAAGGAGGTGAGCGGAGGTGGATGCTCTTTCAGGAGGGCATTACCTAACCTTGGTGCCACAAAAGAAACATACCTTGTGCCCACCTGTTATCTGTCTCATGGTGAAAAGGCACAGAGCAGGCCCTCCAATACTGACCTCAGCATTCATGGGGACAGCTATGGATACAAATCAAAACAGAAAGTTGACTTTCAGAGTAATACTGAAAATTACTAGACCTCAAGTAGGGAAAATAACCTCAGAAATAAAGAAAAGAACCCAAACCGAATATATATATATATAATGGGCCTAGCTTTGGCAGTTTGCACTTTAAGAGGGAATTTGTATGTTCAGGTGATAGGACTATACAGTATTAACAAATATTATTGGCAGGGAATTATAACATGTGCAGGAAAAGAATTTATTATTATTATTATTATTCTGAAAATGTTTATCCTTGAAATTACTGAAATAAGCCCCATGGAATCAGGACCCTGTGAGAGCAAGACTACTCTATTCACTTCCCTGCTACGGAAATACTCCTCATGAATCTCAGCATGAATCTTAAGAGCAGCTGTTCTTCATACAATTAATTTAACCCAGCATTTGAACTGTGAAGCATTTAAGGAAGTTTTTGAAATATATATATATATATTTATTTATCATTGCCATTAAAGAATGATTTGATTTCAATAGGAACAGAATTTGAGTGGGCACAAGGGTGCTATGTTTCATGCTGGCTGTACGGTACTCAATCAGGATGCATGTGTGTACTCTGCCTTGTCTGTGTCAGGAGAGACATTTAAAAAAGGAAGGAAGAAAAGGAAGGCTTTTATGGCAACGGTACTGTCAGTAACACGCCTCCTGTGAGAGCCTGAATTCTTTTTCCTGCAACTCAAGCCGTTTCTCCGTTATTACTATTATTTATTTATTAAATTTGCATACCACAACCCTCCATCCAAACATCACAGGGCAGTTCACAACATAAAAATACAATATAAAAATGAGAACATAAAATACATTTTAAAAAAAGAACAGAAACAAACAAGGGGGGGATAGAAGATCTGTAAAAGCAGCCTTCTGAAATCCCATCTCTATGAATTTCTGCCCCAGGTTTAGTGATGCTGATTGAAAGCAGCACTCACGCATTGGCTGTCTACTGTTATTCTGACTTGCATTTCCAAGAACTGTAAATTGTCAATGCTCACATGACATAGCAAGTCGAACTACAGCTTACTGGGACAGAAAGAATGTGTGGGCTCCTGGAGAGTTTGCAGCTGCTTTGTTGTTCCCTAGGCTTTTTTTTTTTTTTACTATTGCATTTCACTATCATGGCCCTCACTACCAGATGAAGAACTTGAACTCCCAGGTCACTTTCTTCCAAAGACTTTAATGCTTAAATCAGAGGAGTACATAAGCAAGGCAGTGTTCCATGTTGCAGCAGATGTGCAAGAGGATTAGCTCCAACAAGCAGTATGCCCCCTGCATGTTTCTTTTGAAGGATGGGTGGGCACAGCACTAAGTGCAACAAGCAGCAGGGTCTTGAGGCTGGAGAAGCAAAGAGGCACTCCTCCAGGTGGATTCAGCTTGCAAGTTCTGTTTATGCTGGCACTCAGCATCTGATTCACCCTCAGTAGCCTCCTCCTCTGAAGGAACCTCATCACTCATAGAGGAGGTGCCACAACAGGAGGGATCTGACTTGGGGTGCCCAGTGGCTCTGGAGCAGAACACTTCTCTGCTAATCTGCCGGGACTCTCCCCTGGATCTTACTCTCCATCCTCCACATTACCAGCTGCTTCTGGATTCTGACACTCCTTGGAGTCCTCCTTCTCACTAATACCTTCCTCAGGGTTGTCCAGCTCTCTGAGCTTCTCCCATTCTTCCTCAGGATCAGACCACCATGACACATCTGTAGGACTCATGTCATGGGCTGAGCTATGTCCTTAGTGTGTTGTCTGTACCTGGACTCGTGCTGAAGCTCTTTCCCGACTAACCACAAACAGCCAATAACAAACTTTGGCTACAACACATGGTTAGAGGAGTGAATTTGTTGTTGCTGTAGATTGTTGTTGCTTGCTCTGTTCGTCATCGCTTCCCTTCCCCAACTTACCCTTCCCTTTTACTCCAAGCAACTGTGTACAATAACCCTAGAAACTCCACCAGTGCTCACCAATCAGATACTACTATCCACATGGCGAGAACCAATGAATTCATAAAACAAGAATAGGCCAGGGTTAGCCAACATGGTGCCCTCTAGATTTTGCTGGACTCCAACTCCCATCAGCCCCAGCCAGTATGGCTAATGATCAGGGATGATGGTAGGTAGAGTCCAACAACAGTTGGGGAGAATACAATACTGGCTACTCCTGCTGTAGTGTCTCCACTTCATCAGCCCCATTTATTACTTTAGAAATATTTATAAACCACTTAATTAATGAGCTCTCTAAGCAGTGCACATAATAAAATTATAAAGCAGCTAAAATCTACAACTCTATTATATATATACATACATACATACACACACACACACACATAAAATAATTATCTTTCCATTGAAACCTTGGATAATATAATTAGGCTGCAATCCCCTATGTCATAATAATAATAATAATAATAATAATAATAATAATAATAATAATAATAATAATAATTTATTCTCATAGGCAGCTAAATTGTACTGATTTTGAGATGTTTGAAAATACCCAATTTGGGCAATTTCTTCAATTACCCACAACTTCCAGTCCAAGGTGATCTTACCTCTAAGATTCTGATATAATAAACATTACATCATTTTGCTTTATGCAATATAATAAACTTTATATCTTTATTTTATGCACTTCTGAAAAACATGTCTTGCTTCCAAACACCATTGTATCTTGTATAATAACCAGTTAAATCTGCTGGGCTGTGAAATATAGACTGTAATTACAGAAAAGAACAAAGCAGTTTTAGATTATTTTTCTCAGTAACCATGTTTTTGATGGCTTATCATGCTTATTCTGTATTGCTTGTTTTTATTTTGAAGGTAACAGCTGAGTTAGATGCCTGGAATGAGGACTTGCTAAGGCAAATGAATGATTTCAATACTGAGGACCTGACCCTGGCAGAGCAGCGCCTGCAGAGACACACAGAGCGGAAGCTGGCTATGAACAACATGACCTTTGAGGTCATCCAGCAAGGGCAAGATTTGCACCAGTACATCATGGAAGTCCAAGCTTCAGGCAAGTACATACATTTATTTTTACTTTCCAGTTTTCTCCCTTAAGGCTCATGTTAGCATGCTTTCACATCTACAAGAGCTATTCTCGAGGAAATAAAACAACCAAGAGAAATTAAGTGAAGCCTAGCACTATCGGAGTACACACGAACACTGAAGCTGGGTAAAGTTCAAATCAGAAAGATGTTTCCCCTGTTTCCATGGGATTTGTGCTTGGGAGTAATACAGAGAGCTTATGCAGTTTATACTTCAGCCCAGTTAGTTAACTCTAAACTAACTACCGTATTTTTCACTCTATAACACGCACCTGACCATAACACGCACATCGTTTTTAGAGGAGGAAAACAAGGGAAAAAATTCTGAATGAAACAGTGGATGTATCATTTTTGTGCTTCATGCTGTGGCCACAGACATGTGATCTGATGGTGAATTTGGGGTAGCTCAATGCAAAGATCCTGAGGATCCATGTGGATCCATGCTTTTTAACCACATTTTTGCACCATTACAGCCCCAGGCAACAGTGGGTGTGTGATTTTGGGGGGCAGGCTGCTATGTGATCTGATGGTGAATTTGGGGTGGCCCAATGCAAAGATCCTGAGGATCCATGTGTATCCATGCTTTTTAACCACATTTTTGCACCATTGCAGCCCCAGGCAACAGTGGGTGTGTGATTTTTGGGGGGCAGGCTGCTATGTGATCTGATGGTGAATTTGGGGTGGCCCAATGCAAAGATCCTGAGGATCCATGTGGATCCATGCTTTTTAACCACGTTTTTGCACCATTGCAGCCCCAGGCAACAGTGGGTGTGTGATTTTTGGGGGGCAGGCTGCTATGTGATCTGATGGTGAATTTGGGGTGGCCCAATGCAAAGATCCTGAGGATCCATGTGGATCCATGCTTTTTAACCACATTTTTGCACCATTGCAGCCCCAGGCAACAGTGGGTGTGTGATTTTTGGGGGGCAGGGCTGCTATGTGATCTGATGATGAATTGGGTGCCATGCAAGATCTGAGATCAGTGATCAGCTTTTACCACGTTTGCAATGCAGCCCCAGGCCAGGGTTGTATTTAGGGGGGAGCTGCTATGTGATCTGATGGTGAATTTGGGGTAGCCATGCAAAGATCTGAGGATCATGTGGATCATGCTTTTTAACCACGATTTTTTGCAAGCACCAGTTGCAGCCCCAGGCAACAGTGGGTGTGGATTTGGGGGGCAGGCTGCTATGTGATCTGATTTTTGGGTGCCAATGGTCCGGGATCATGGGTCATGCTTTTAACCACGTTTTGCCATGCAGCCCCAGCAACAGGGGTTGTGATTTTTGGGGGCGGCTGAGATCTGATGGTGAAATTTGGGGTGGCCCAATGCAAAGATCCTGAGGATCCATGTGGATCCATGCTTTTTAACCACATTTTTGCACCATTGCAGCCCCAGGCAACAGTGGGTGTGTGATTTTTGGGGGGCAGGGCTGCTATGTGATCTGATGGTGAATTTGGGGTGGCCCAATGCAAAGATCCTGAGGATCCATGTGGATCCATGCTTTTTAACCACGTTTTTGCACCATTGCAGCCCCAGGCAACAGTGGGTGTGTGATTTTAGGGGGGCAGGCTGCTATGTGATCTGATGGTGAATTTGGGGTGGCCCAATGCAAAGATCCTGAGGATCCATGTGGATCCATGCTTTGTAACTACATTTTAAGTGGGGAGTGAAGGAAAAACACAGAAGGGACAAGAGAGCGGTGTGCAGAGAAGCAGCTGGCTAAGAAAGCACGGAGAGGAATTAGAAGGAAAGACCTCTGCTTTCCCCTCTGCTTGCCTGGAGGGGAGGGGATTTGCCTGCTCTTTGTTCCATTTGAGCAAACACAGCAACGAAACAGAGGAGGGCGGGCAGTAAGACCCTGAGGCAGAATGCAGGAAAGCAACCACTTCCTCTTTTCAGGTTTCCCTCTCCGACACAACGGCACAATTGATTTTTGCTGATTTTTGTTCCTGCGCTCCCCTAATCGGCTCCAGGGACCCCCCCCCCACATTCGCTCCATAACACGCACAGACATTTCCCCTTCCTTTTTAGGAGAAAAAATCTGCGTGTAATAGAGAGAAAAATACGGTAACAGCCCAGTTAGTTACACAATGGAGGTAAGGGAATGTTCCTGCCTATCTAGGGGATCTTTTTTCACTTACAACTTCTCCAGCTGCTTAAAGTGCTAGCAGAGGCAATATGAAACATAGCCATCTTGGGAGATGTGGTCTTGTAAACCTGCGGTATTGAAAACTGGATGGAAGTGAAAATCACTAGAAAATCTGGGCCCAAACAAAATAACATCTTCATTACTAAATAAGATAGAATGGCTCTTGAACTTCACATTCAGGGCATGGTAATCTATCCTCCCCTTTGGGAGGAAGGTTCTTTTTAAATGCCAGATACAGCACACATTTGTTATAATTAGCCTGCATATGGTGTTGTGTCCTCAGGACTTTTCCTGCATTTAGTATGCTTGACTTTGCTACATGTCTTTGATCTGGCTGCATTCACAATTTTCAATCACACACACGGCTGGTGTATTTCTGATTGTGATAACTCATCAGTGGCAATCAGTAAAGGGCCTAGGATATCAAAGGGCAGCTGGCTCCCCTGTGATGAATGATTTGGCCTTTGTGTCTTGCCACATGTCAAACAGTTTTAAGCCACATATACAATGACAAAACTGGGATTTCTTAAAATGCTGGTATTAACAGAACTACTTTTTCTGTTGCTTTGAATGTATTGTCTTAGGTAAAATAGTGATTCATTAATGTTTTTGCTGGGTGGATTTATTTTCCTAAATCACAGGGAAATTTTAACTGGGTTTGAATGCAGAACCTTTCTATATACTATGCTTCTTTATGGTCCTTTACTTGGAGTCTGGATCCTAAGAAAACTTTTGGGAGCATGTGGTGGGCAGAGTGTACCTCCTCTTGACTGCAAACCAAGACTCTTGTCCTCAGCATTGAACAAAGCAACACATAAATGATCACATTGAACCCACGAGCCTGAGTTCAGAACATAAAAAAGGTTTATTTTCCTTTGGCTCTGTCTCTTCCTTTTCTGCTATGTGGTGTGAAAGAGAAGTATAATCTTCTCTTATAAAGTGCTAAAATCAAAAGGATATTTACTGTGAATTTCAGTAAGTCTGTCCTCTCTCTTTCTTATAAAATCAGTGGTGTACAAGAGACAGAAAGAGTTTTTTCTTCACCTTAATTTTAAAAAGTAATCAGTATTCTTTAGTTAAACATTGCATCCCTGAAAGGCTGAGAGCGATTACTCACTGCAAAACTGTTGCTTCAGACGGCCATGGGGAAGAGAAGCTGCAGCTGGAAGAATAACATTTTGGTAGCTACACAACACATTTCCTATACAGACACCAGCTGCAGATACGTTAGATTTGAGCAACTATCAAACTGATTTCTTGGTGCTTCACAAGGCATCTGTAAATGTGAATGGGTTTATCTACAATAAATTACCAACAGAAAAGTTCAGGGGGTTGTTACAAGTCACAGCACTTTTCCAGGCTACCACCTTTTTCCTTTTGTTAGGAGCAGGTCCACTGTTCCATCTGAGGAATTGTTTTTCATTACAGGCATTGAATTGATCTGTGAAAAAGACATTGATCTAGCAACACAAGTGCAAGAACTGCTGGAGTTTCTTCATGAGAAGCAACATGAGCTGGAGCTCAATGCTGATCAGACGCACAAGCGGCTGGAGCAGTGCCTTCAGCTCCGACACTTGCAGGCAGAGGTCAAGCAGGTCAGAGCTTTTCACCATTGTCATTAGTCTGTTTTTGTGTTGGCTTAAATGTTTCTGGAAGACATGCTGAGCTGCGACATATTGAAAGTGTTAAACTCCCTGGGTGGTATTTAGCTTAGTTTTTTCTCAAAAACATGAATTGGCAGCTTCCAGATATATTTTATTTGAAAAAACTTTTGTTGCTCATTCTATAGGATCTGCACTAGAAAGTAATATCTTGATCTGCTGATGTTGCATGCATAGTTATGTTTCTGATGTAAGCTTGGACTTTGATATCTAATACAGAGGCTGAGATCATGAGAAAGTTTAGTTTTCAAAAGCAGGTTTCTAGACCTCTTTTTGTGTAGGACATATTAAATTGTGCAGTAGACAGTACCACGGGTAACAGCTCAAGTACCCAAAGGAATCTTGATTTATTACGGTTTTGGTGAGACACCAGCTTGTTAGTAGATTCGAAAGGACTAAAGGAGATAAAAGCTGGAAGTAAACCAGGAGTCACTGCCGGACGCTGGAATACTTTTGGCTTTAGAAAGGCAAAATGGAAGCTGTGGTGTAATGAGAATTAAGTTATCAAGGGAGGGGCAATGTTGAAGAGGATTGATTGATTACAACATGAAGGAAAAGAAGAATGTAAACAAATATTTCACACAGAAAACTGCAAGAAATAAATTCCCTTTGCAAGTTAATGGATATGGATTTGCTAAATACGAACGAAAATCATCACACCAGTGGCTGTTAAAATAAAGGATCAAGATCGGAATTGTTGTATTTGGACTAATTAAGAGAATTGGCGCAGGGCCAAGGAATAACATCAACTCCTGATAGCCAGAACATGGGAAGTCATCCAAAAATGCTGAATTCAGAACTGATTAATTGGCTCTTTTGATTGTATTATGATTTGGTATGATTTGGTGTTGTATTAATGTGGCCTCCATTGGATTGTTATTAATAAAAAAATAATAAAAATTATTTATATAAAAAAGAAATATTTGAGGATGGTTAGTATGGACACGTTCAAGATGGAGCAAGCTTGTTTTCTACTGCTCTCGATGGTAGGACCCAAACCAATGGATTCAAGTTACAAGAAAGGAAATTCCAACTAAACCTCAGGAATAACTTTCTGAAGTAAAGTGCTGTTCCTCAGCGGAACAGACTCCCACGAGAGGTGGACTTTCCTTCCTTGGAGGTTTTTAAGCAGAGGTTGACGATGGCCATTTGTCATGTATGATTTAATTGAGATTCCTACATTGCAGGGGGTCGGACTAGATGACCCTTGGGGTCCCTTCCAATTCTATGATTCTATAGTGCACTTTTATGAGAAACCATTTCATTGTTTTTAAAGCATACACATAGTTTGGTTGAGATGCATTGTTCTATTCTGCCCAGTAGGATACGTACTCTTCTTATTATGAGCAAGGTTGTCCTAGTAGAACAAGTATTCAGAAAGTACTTTCAGCGAGGTAAAGTACTGAACACAGATGCTGTGAAACTGCAAATATTCAGACAAATGTTAATAACCCATAGCATTCTCTGATACACAGAAATAGAACATTTTGTTACTGGTACCAAAAAAAACATGTTGAGAACTAGACACATGTTAATGCTGAGTGGGGAGCTGGAAGAAGGCAGATTTATCTGTGTGTGTGTGTGTGTGTGTGTTTGAAGTAGGTTTCTTTCATTACTTAGCAAACATAACCAGAAAAATGTCTAGAGTTTGTTTCTGGAAATAGAACAGCACTGTACATATGACAGAATGGATTTTATTTTGTCACATGCTGCCTTGAGTGCCTCCTATTGAAGCAAAAAAGTAGTATATAAATGTGTTTAAAATTAATAAAAGAATAAATGTATATGTGTGGCTGCTTGTGTGGGCCAATGGATGTGGGAAATTTGAAGTATCAGGTAAATTGGCAGGATCCACTGATCCATGAATCGTCCAGCAGCCATAAAGTGGTTGTGTGGTTGCTTCACTCAAGTTCCACTTGGTTTCCGTTTGCTATGCACCGCTGCCCAGCCTCATACTTCATAGCTTTCTCAACAAGCTAGTGTGATCATGTGCTCCCAAGCAGTATAAATTCTAGAACACAATGTGAGAACGCTAAAATATCAGCTTTTACTTTATAAAGTGATTTTCAAGCTATCAGCAAATGGTGTTGGTTGTTCAAAACGCATCAGAAAATCAGAGGCACTGTGGACAGGGCTTCCAGTAATCAACCAAAGGGGCTCCTCTATTATCTGCACTTTTTCTCCCCATGGTCTTATCACTAGTCAGGAGCACTGCAAAATTTCTTAAACTTCAGGCAATTTTTAAAAATCAGTTGTTGCGGTTTCTAGTGCTTCAAATGCTGAAAGAATTTGTAAGGCCTAAACTTCCATTTTGCTGGCTCTTGCTGCCAATCAGAGACAGTTGTTGAAACTGCCCCTGATGTATCATGAGCAACTAAGAGGAGACGGGGAAGCAGAGGAATAGAAACATTTACACCCTTGTAACATATTGACAACTAACAGCCTTTTTTGTAACACTGGAGTAATATGATTAGTGTAATACAATCACCTGTTGAAAATGTTTTCACATTTAATACTATGTTAAAGCTTCCAGACTGTCTTCAGGGGCAGCTCCACATGGAAGACATTACAGTGGTCATAAGACTCTTAGGGAAATCTATGGCACTTGTTTGTATCTGTAACTCATTCTGAACCTTTCCCTTTCTGATTTTAATTCTTATTCTTGCTTGGAAAACTATCTATATACCAATATATATTATCTGCCTTAAAATATTCCCTCAAAATTTCATTTTAAAGGAATTATTGCTTTAAAAGATGCAGAATGAGTCATGCTATTTCCATAGTGTGCTCCAACCATCTACAAACTTGTGCAGAGCAATCTAAAGACCAAACAAAGTGTGCAGGGATTTAGGAGTGAACTTTCAAACTGTTTCAAAAGAGATGTTAACAGCTGTGGTTCATTAAGAGTTTCTTTAGAGTTTCTTTAACGTTATTGGGAAGCCTTTCTCACTCCAATGCTTTACAGCAAGCCCATGGTGAAAACACATTTTATTTGTTCAGCTGAATACTTTAAAAGTCAATTGATTATTAACCTGTGAATTATTACAGCTATAGCTTTCCCTGGAAAGAGCTGGGTTTAAATATATCACTGCCCTGTCATAAAGCGGCTGGATTTGGCTTCCTGTGGGATGAGTCATAATCAAAATCACTTAGTGAAATTGGAATTTATATTGATTTTGGCCTGTTGTTCGTTTCCAGTCCAGATCCAAATGGGTTTCCCTTTCACTTTAGAGCATCTGAGACGATGAATGGTCTCAAATCCATTACCAAATTGCCCTTGCTCTTAGGATTAGAGGAAGAGTGGGCTGCCACCAACCAATACCTGGTGCTTACTCAACTCAACTTTTGCTGATACAGTAGAAAGTCTGGAGAGCTCTAGAATGCCTACATGTGGTTGCATTTTAACATAATGGTGCTTGGAGATATCTGAAATTGTTTTTTCCCCTTCCCTTTCTCATTAGGAAAGTTTTCTGTTTTCAACAGTACATGCCATTGGCTTGGATGTTAAGGCAATGAGTTGAAACTTGGAGTAATTGGATATAAAGGATGTGTAATGTGCATGGGGGCTGACTCTCTCTGTAGAATACTTAATAAAATAGGTGGCTGGTTTTTCACATTCTCTTATGCTAAGACAGAGAGAGATAATTAAGGGTGTGCCTTCTACCATTATCTACCATATCATCTAGTTGTTTGTTTCTCCAAACTGTCCTGCCCAGTAGTTTTCCACTTTCTTCAAATGGAAGACTTTGCTTGGGCTGCCACCAAATATGCCTGTCCTCCCCCAACTCCCCACACAGCTACTTCTGACTACTCCCAGTTCTGACCCTTTATAGCATCTTTGACTGCTTAGTCTTTCATCTGCAAACCAGATCAAAAATAGAGGTCTAAGAATACCATGACGTGAAATATTACAGTACAAAACTGAGGCACTGAAGTGTCAAAAATTAGTGCTTCCTAGAATGTCAGATCAGGGAATAGAGATTCAGCCTGGTTCTGTCTCTGAGCCTGGATGCCCAGATTTCAGCAGTGGCAAGTAGTGGTTTTGCATAGCTGAGACTGGTGCACCTTTGAAATTCCTGCCTAGTCATCTCTAGGGGGTTAGTCAGACATTAGGCAAATACCTCTTTTTCTTTTTTTTAAAGGCCTTTAACCTGTTGATGTTTTACTTTGGGTTTATTTCTCATCTGTACAAATTTTTCTGTGTTCTCGTTGGTTTTATCTTACTATTACTGGCTGTTCTTTAAAAATTTGTTTTATTGTATTTTTGTTATGATTGTTGTTAGCCACCTTGGTTGCTATATGTAGAAAACTGAAATATAAACTGAAATGATGATGATGATGATGATGATATTGATAAAGTTTTTTTGTCTAAAATTATTTTCCACCATAAGTTCCAGGGAGGCATTCTTTTAATATGTAGCTATTTCAGTAGAAATGAGGACCAAACTATGTGTGATGTTTATCACATAGTTTGCCCAAGAGTGTAAACTTCTTCCTGCACAAAGTGCTATAATGGATGGCCAAATCCATATCAGGACCTTGGCATATCAGTTTCCTTTGCTGTCCACCATGGTGTCAGTCTGAATGAGGGGTCCCACATCTGCAATACCCATTTTTGGGGGTATTCAATTTGTCTCAGTCAGAATGTCCCCCCTATATAAATTGTTGGTGTGGGGGCAGGCAGGGCTTATACAGATCAAGATTGTGGTGAGGGAAGCAAAGAGTTAAAGGGTTTGATCAGACTCCCACACTGGCAATTTATGAAAGCAAAAGCTTGAACTCAAGGGCAAAGTATGTCATAAGCATCATGTGTAGTTCGGCCCTTAGATCGGTGCAGAGAAAGTCAGAATTAAAACCAGTTATTGCAGCAAGAGCAATTACGATTCTTGAAAACTTGAGTCAAGTCAGGAGCTGACTTGACTCTGAGCATTCCA